CAGCCACTCCTCGGAAGGAAGATGGGGCAATCTACTTCCATAGTGATACTGCCTTGGAAACCCAAGGAGGGGTCGCTATGAGTCGGGTCTGACTCGACGTCACATAACAACAACAACAACATAGGTAAACTAGCTCAGACACTTGGGTTATTTCTCTATAGCATGGTTTTGCCAGAAGGTCATATAATTGGAATAATATACTATGTAGTTTTTCATACTTATGTCTTTGACTTAATAATAAACATTTAAAGTTCCTTAGTGTCTTTTTTTGGCTCATTTCTTTTTATCATTGAATAATACTCCATTTTGTGAATGTACCATAGTTTTCCATTTACTTGTAAAAGGATGTTTTGGTTGCTTATAATATTTGGCAATTATGAATAAAACTGCTAAAAACACTTGTGTGCTGGCTTTTGTGTGGACATAGCTTTATTTTATTTGGGTAAATATATACAAGTGTGAATTCTGGAATCATGTGGTAAGACTTGTGTTAGTTTTGTAAGAAACTATCAGACTGCCTTCTAAAGCGGCTGTACCATTTTTCATTCCTACCCGCAATAAATGAGAGTTGTTGATGTTCCACACCCTTGCCAGCATTTGATAGTCTCATTGTTTTGGATTTTAGCCATTCTAATAAGTGTGTAGTGATTTAGTAAGTTTAGATTTAAATGCCCACATGTGCCTAGTGGTTACCATATTGCAAAGTGAAGTTCTAGAATTTTTTCTCTTCTTTATACCAATTTATACCACTGAATTAATTTTTTAAACTATTGTTTTAGCTAGAACTTCTAATACATTATTTTATTTATTTATTTAAATTGCATGTGTTCATTTTTATTATTTTGTATGTTAAGGAAAAATTCTTGTCATTCTGCCTCATGGCAAAGACTGTGATGATAGAGATATAAAAACAGAGAGCTGGACATTTACATAATGAATTTAATCATGATATATGTTGCTGATTTTTCTTCATGACTTGCTGATTTTTTTTATATTACACAAGCAATCATTTTCTTAAACTTTTATAGAATTCAGAGCACAAAATAGTAAAAGTTGATTGGGTTGGCTAAATGTGTGTTGTTTTTCATTCTTTTTTTTTTTTTTTTTGTGATTTGGGTGAAAATTTACAGAGCAAATTTACTTTCTGTATGGCAGTTCACATACACTTTGTCTCCTAATATTGACCATAATTCACCACAATGCTGCAGCTCCCCTACAACTTCCTCTCAACAGTCACCTCTTCCCTGTGTCCATCCCTCCATGCACCATTACCCCCTGAGCTGTCTCCCTGTGTATAACCAGTCCTTCTTTATCCCCTGATTGTTCTCTCCAAGGAGTGTATTTACCTCACGTAAATGTTCAACTCCTATGCCTGTCTTTTACTTGTCTGGAAGCCACAGATGTGGGTTCAATTTCAGGCCTGAAGGACAGCTAGGAGCCATAGTCTCAGTGGTTCTACCAGGCTCTATCAGACTGGCAAACCTGTTCCCCCATTTTTTTTTCCCCAAATGCTTTTGAGTTTTGTTCCACATTGTTCTCCATCTCTATCCAGGGTCTCCTACATAGATCCGCCCTGAGTGGTTGACATTGGCAGCTGGGCACCATCTAGTTCTTCTGGTCTCATAGTCATGTAGGCTGCGGATTTGCATGGTG